AAAATAAAATAAAAAAAAAAATAAAAATAAAAGTGTCTGGTAGTTCCACCTTCTTCTTTCTCTCCCTCTCTCTGTCTCTCTCTCCTGCACCATGTAAGATGTCCCTTGCTTCCCCTTTGCCTTCTGCCATGATTGTAAGTTTCCTGATGCCTCCCTGGCTATGCAGAACCATGTCAATTAAACCTTCTTTCTTTATAAATTACTCACTCTCTGGTAGTATGTTCATAGCCATGTGAGAACAGAGTAATATACTTTGCCTGCTGTATGCTCAGATCTAAAAGATCTGCATAGTCTCAGCCACAATGGAGAAGTAGGAGATTCTATTTTTGAGAAAGTGCAAGTCTTAAAGATGTATGATTTAAAAGAAGCTCCTAGGGTGGGCATGGTGGCTACACCTGCAATCCCAGCACTTTGGGAGGCCGCAGTGGGCAGATCACCTGAGATCAGGAGTTCATGACCAGCCTGGCCAACATGGCAAAAGCTCATCTCTACTAAAAATTATAAAAATTAGCCAGACATGGTGGCGGGCGCCTGTAATTCCAACTACTCGGAAAGCTGAGGCAGGAGAATCATTTGAACCCAGGAGGCAGAGGTTGCAGTGAGCTGAGATTGCGCCACTGCACTCTAGCCTGGGTGACAGAGCAAGACTCTGTCTCAAAAAAAAAAACAAAAAACAAAAAACAATAAAAGCTCCTAAAATACTCATAATTGCAAGTAAGCATCCCAAATACAGTCTATTAAGAGGAAAGCTATTTTTACAAATTGAAAAAGGAAAAGTGTTACCTATTGACTTCAAGCAACATTTCTTCTTCTATAATGGATTTTTCTTTAGTACTGAGGTTTTCAAAGTCATTTTGGAATGCAGCCAAGTAACTGGAAATAAAATGGAGCTTAAAAAAAAGTAATTGTGTTAGGATGGTTAAAATAGACAATGTCAATAGCTGTCACGAAGCACATGCATCTACTGTGACACCCTGGGAGACACACGCTCGACATGACGTCACCGTCTCCAACATCCTGGGGCTGGCACCAGTGAGCCAACCTTTGCTAGGTTTTCAGCTGCTCTCTCTCCCCAGGGTTTCTAGTGGAGGTACAGTGTCTAGGCTCTTCAGCATACTTTTTCCATTTCGAGTAGCAATTAAAACATAAACTGGAGACCATTATTTTGGAGGCAGGCTTGGTGCACTCTCCCAGCCCTACTCAGCTTCAGCACTGCTACGAAGCAGGAGAAAGTTCCCATGAGAACTGATTCTCGAACAATCACCAGCATCCTCCCATCATTTAGAACAGGAAAAGGAATTGTTAACACCAAAGACATTTCTTCCCATTACTAAACCCTGGTCCCCAAAAGATTACTTCTCTCTCCATAGCGTGAAATGAATAGAAAAAGGTCAGTGATCCCCAAAAAGATGGCCAGAAAGCAGAATCAAGGCTGGGCTTTTCAGAAAACACTAGAAGGAACTAACAAGGATGCTAAAGTTCTTCTCTGAATACGAGTATCTCTGGCACACAGATTTTTAAAAAGCTGGACTAAAAGGTCAAGTTTGTGTCTACAGATTTAACAAACAAAGTAACATTTTTTAACATAAACCAAATTTTTTTTTTTTTTTTTTTGAGAAAGAGTTTTGCTCTTGTTGTCCAGGCTGGAGTGCAATGGCACGGTCTCGGCTCACCGCAACCTCCGCCTCCTGGGTTCAGGCAATTCTCCTGCCTCAGCCTCCTGAGTAGCTGGGATTACAGGCACGCACCACCATGCCCAGCTGATTTTTTGTATTTTTAGTAGAGACGGGGTTTCACTATGTTGACCAGGATGGTCTCGATCTCTTGACCTCGTGATCCGCCCGCCTCGGCCTCCCAAAGTGAACATAAACCAAATTTTTAAAAGTCATCTTTAAAAATGAAGATGTAGGTCGGGCGCGGTGGCTCACGCCTGTAATCTCAGCACTTTGGGAGGCCGAGGCGGGTGGATCACAAGGTCAAGAGATCGAGACCATCCTGGTCAACATGGTGAAACCCCATCTCTACTAAAAATACAAAAAATGAGCTGGGCATGGTGGCACGTGCCTGTAATCCCAGCTACTCAGGAGGCTGAGGCAGGAGAATTGCCTGAACCCAGGAGGCGGAGGCTGCGATGAGCCGAGACCACGCCATTGCACTCCAGCCTGGGTAACGAGAGCAAAACTCCGTCTCTAGGCCAGGCGTGGTGGCTCACACCTGCAATCCCAGCACTTTGGGAGGCTGAGGCAGGAGGATCACTTGAGTCCAGGAGTTTGAGACCAGCCTGGGTAACTTGGTGAAACCCTATCTCTACAAAAAATACAAACAATTAGCTGGGTGTGGGGGCATGCGCCTGTGGTCCCAGCTACTTGGGAGGCTGAGGCAAGAGGATCACCTGAGTGCAGGAGGTCAAGGGTACAGTGAGCCATGATCGCATCACTGCACTCCAGCCTGGGAAACAGAGACCCTGTCTCAAAAAATAAAAAAGATGATTTAATTCTAACTGCATGAAATTGACATGTAATTTTCCTATCAAGTATATAAAAACCCATCTCCTACCTGTTGTTTCTTCGTGGGATATTTCCGGATATTTGCTCTGAAAAAAGGGTACTTTTCATAGGTATAATCATATATCCACTCACAGAAATGATTCCCAATGTCGAATCCCCTGAAACAAGAGATAAGACAGTGCATGCAATGAGGCACACCATATGCCTGGATGCTCCCTGACTGCAGAAGAAAGAAAGACTGAGTTCCGAGCACACCACTCCTGTTGCCAGCTGGACTTGCTGAGGGAGCAGGACTGAAACTGCTTTAATGACAGACAGAGCCAATCAGTTGACTGTCAGCATCACAGCTGACTGAAGCTATAAAGGCGCACCTGAACCACAACTCCAGAACAATGTGTCTCCTCGACCACGATTTATGAGAAGAAAATGATCTCTGAAGCCAAAAGAAAATGCCAAAGTCTGGACTGAACTGCATGGCTGCCCCCCACTCGCGCCGTCAGCTAGGAACAAAGGGGACCATGCTTCCTCACCACAGCCATCATGCACCACTGGACAAGAAGCCACCCCTTCTAGGTGAAGCAGCTTGTAACTCAGAGTGGTGTTTTGACTTATTTACTCTTATAATTGTTTAATAAGCATGACATAATCATAAAACAATATTGAGATGGAAATACTGGACTGTAACATATTACCTGTAATTGTAGCTGCTGTATTCGAAGTCAATGAGCATCAGTTTCTGCTTTTCAGAATTCTCTCGGCCTTCCAGCAACAAGATATTACCTGCAAAAGGTTTGGATAACATGGCTCACGTTTTACAATAGAAGGCTCAAGTCCTTGAAGAGCAGAGCCGCGGGAATGGATCTGACCCTTTCAAAAAATACTAAGTGTGGCTTTTGGTCTGTGGACATCACCAGGGCCTAGATAAGAGCGTAGGAGAAGTGCTCATGGGAGGCCTGGCCCTGTGCAGGGAGACTCCTCACCCACCTGGCTATGAGAACCCCTGCTCACATCCCTAGTTCCCGTTGGACCCCCAGGCTCACTGTGGAACAGAGCCTGGCCTCTCACTCTGCTGTCAGGGCAGTAACTCTCAAACGTTCTGCAAGGTGACATGCAGGAGCTCAGGCTAGCCAAACACCACCCTCAGCCGCCTTGGGACTTGGTTTGCTGTCTGCAGGCCAGCTGGCTGCAGCACCCCAGCTGGGAAGCTGTGGGAATGTCCTCCCGGTGAGAAAGGCTAGGGAGAGCTCAGCTGCCACAAGGGATCCTCTGCTTTGTCCCTGCCTGGTTTTCCTTCCCAAGGAGACCATAGGCAGCATTCCTACAACGCTACTTCCTTTAGTGCTGGATTCTGGGTCAGGAGTGGATTGGCCACCAGCCTGTTTCTGCAGGCCTGTGTTCCTGAGATCCCCTGACGTTCAGCATTTCCAACCTCCTGGTGCTGGCACCAGTCAGCCTACCTTTGCTAGGTTTTCAGCTACTCTCTTCCCCCAGGGTTTCTAGTGGAGGTACAGTGTCTAAGCTATTCAGCATACTTTTTCCATTTTGAGTAGCAATTAAAACATAAACTGGAGACCAGAAAAGGTATACTGGCTCACACTTGTAATCCCAGCAGTTTGGGAGGCAGAGGTAGGAGCACCACTTAAGCCAGGAGTTTGAAACCAGCCTGGGCAACAGAGAAAGACTCCATCTCTACAAATAATTAGCCAGGCGTAGTGGCGTGTGCCTGTGATCCCAACTACTCGGGAGGCTAAGGCAGGAGGATCACTTAAGCTCAAGAGGTTAAGGCTGCAATGAGCCATGACTGCAACACTGCACTCCAGCCTGAGTGACATGGCA